ATTAGTAATAGCCAATACTTCTACAAAGAAGAATAGAAGTTTGTTAGAATGGAATTTGCCTTCAGAAGGTGTTATCAAGTTAAATTTTGATGAGAGCAGCCAAGGTAACCCTGGGCCTTCAGGTATAGGGGGTGTCCTAAGGAATAAGGATAGCAATATCATTTCCTTATTCTCAGGACCGATGTGAGTGGGGGACTCTACAAGGGTAGAAATTAGTTGTTGTACAAGGAATTCATATCGCTAACCAGCTTGGAGTGGAACATCTCCTAGTTGAAGGGGACTCTCAGGTGGTAACAAGGTTGCTTCTAAACCCGAATGCTACCATTTGGGGCTACAAAGACTTCATCAAAATAGTCTAGTGGTTAACTAGTAATATGAGAGTTGAGTTTAAAATGGGTAAGCAGGTCAACTAATACTATGGTTGATTCTTTGGCCAAATAGGGGGTTTCCAGGGAGGGCCTTTTTTGTGCTACAATGTAACTCATTCTAGTATAATGGGAAGTTGTACTTAACTAGCTTGAAGAGGTTGCATCTCGTACCTCTCCTTGGAGACATTGTACTATTTATCATTGTTGATTAATAAATTTCTTTCAATTATCAAAAAAAAAAAACTCTGTATTCCTCTCCAATACACGTTACATAGTGGATTTCTGCTCCTTCGCCTATGGACATAGGTTATAAGCCGAACCACGTAACTTTGGTTATCCTCTTTGCTTGCTTCTCTTTATCTTTATTTTTCTTTCGCTTTTGGGTGTCATTCAAATTTGTATTTTTGAGTTTTGCACAACAAACTGGTATTAGAGCCCTATTTTTTGTTTGACACTTGCAATATCATCAATGAAGTTTGATGATAGCATTAATTTCAATATTTGGCAAGTCAAGACGCGTGCCATTTTGGGACAAGACGGATTGCACAAAGCTCTGTATGGGAAGCAAAAGAAACCTATAACTATGAGTGATGAAGAATGGGAGGAGCTAGACTTAAAGCCCTAATCATGATTCGGCTGTTGCTACCAAATGAAGTTTTGTGGAAAGTTGCTCATGAGAAGATTGTTGTAGGTTTGTGGTAGAAGTTGGAGTCTCTGTACATGTCAAAATCCTTTGCTAGTAAGCTCTACTTGAAGCAACGACTATTCCTGTTTCGTATGGATGGAAGTACACCTATCAAATCTCATATTAATGAATTTAACTCTATTGATAATTATGATGGATTTGCAAAATATTGATGTTAAGGTTGAAAATGAAAACTAAGCCCTTTTGTTACTTTGTTCCTTACCACTCTCATATAAGTTTTTTTTTAGAGAGTCTCCTTTATGGAAGAGACACTATTACTATAGAAGATGTTAAAGCATCATTACTTTCTAAAGAAGTGATGGATAAATACCTGACTATAAATACGGATGATAGTCAGGACTCTAGGTTGCTTACAAGAGGGAGGTCTAAGGACAAGGGATCAAATAGTAAATTGAAATCTATATCAAAATCTAGACATAAGAACTTGACTTGCAACTATTGTTACAAGAAATGGCACATTAAGTCAGAATGTTATAAGTTAAAACAAAAACCAAAATGAAGAAAAGAAAAAGAGTAACTTTGTAGAGACTAGTGCGACTGAGGATGAGAATGCTGATGTTCTCTTAATGATAGATGACAGATGACAAAACCAAATCCAAGGATGAATGGATTTTGAATTTGGATTGTTCTTACCATATGTGTGCCAATAGGGATTAGTTCTCTACCTATGAACCTGTTAATGTTGGAGTTGTAGTGATGGGTAATAATGCCTCTTGTAAAATTGTGAGAAAATGAACAATTAGAATCAAAATACATGATGATGTTGTAAGAACATTGACAAAAATACGACATGTATCGGATTTAAAGAAAAATCTCATCTCTCTTGGCACTCCAAATGTTAATGGGTTTAAGTATTCAATTGAAGGTGGAGTTTTGAAAGTCAGTATGAGTGCTTTTGTTGTGATGAAAGGCATGGGGATAGAAAGTCTGTATGTACTACAGGGTACTACTATCACAAGTTTAGTTGTAATTTCTACATTATCTCTATCTGAGTTCGTAACCATCAAGTTATGGCACATGAGACTCGGACGTATGAGTGAAAGGGGACTGACTATATTAAGCAGGAGAAGTCTTCTTTGTAGCCAACGTATAGGAAAGCTTGACTTTTGTGAATATTGTGTTTTTAGGAAGCAGAAAAGAACTAGCTTCAATGCAGCCATTTTTTTATCAATAACAAAAAGCTTTATTAATGAAATACACTTGTGAACTTTAATTACAAGACAGGGGAGGTAAACTATCTTAACTCCCCAACATCAAAGGACAAAGAAAGAAACTAAAAATTAGTCCAAAACAAAGAATCATTAGCCACTCCTTGCTTAGCTAACCCATCAGCCATTGAGTTAGCCACTCCTTGCTCCACAAGCAACTGTTGTCTCCTTTCAGCCACCTAATCACCACCTCCGAGTCCCCCTCAATAACTAAGCATCTAATGCTTAATTCTCTTGCTTTTTCCTTCAAGAACTGCTAGAATTTCGGCCCTAAGAGAGTCACCATCTCCGATTGGCCCAGAGAACATGGCAATAATATGCCCCTCCTCATTCCTGAACACACCCCCTATTTTAGAAGGCCCTGGATTCCTTAAACTGTATCCATCAAAATTCAGTTTTATGAATCCAGTGGGAGGGGGGGGGGGGTCCAAGCGGGTCTATAGGTCCTCTTACAAAGAGCAGTAGTAGCTACCTCTTTCCACTTTTTGAACAAGTCAGCCATAGAAAATTCAGAGAAAAACTCCATTGATTTTAGCCAGTGAGCTATCTAGTATCAAGTCTATTAGGTGTTCTGTGGTTCTTTCCTTATCTGAAAAAATTCGTGAGGTTCTTTCTTCCCATATTGACCAGCACACTGCAGCCCTAAATGCTTCTCCACATAACCTTCCCCCTTTTCTTAGGCCATCTAAAAAAAGAGGAAGAGAACAAGCATTGCACACTCACGGGGGGATTCCAAGTACACCCAAAAAGAGAAAACACCCATTCCCAAACAGTCTTCGTAACTGGACAAGTAACCATAATGTGGTAATTCGTTTTCCCATCAGCTTTACAAAGAATACACCTATTAGGAAGTAAACAACAGTTGGGTCTCTTTCTTTGAAGCAAATCATTTGTGTTAACTCTATCCAGGAAATTTTCCAACAAAAACTACCAACCCGAGGAGGAATGGATTTGCTCCAAATCTCTTTAACAGGGAATGACAACCCAAGCAGAATAGTAGGTTGAACTAATGTCTCAAAAAACGAAGCACAAGAGAAAGACCCAGAGGAGGAAGGGGTCCAGATTCTAGTGTCTTCCTTATTGGAGTTCAAGAAAACATTTTGGCTTCAATGCAGCCATTTACAGAACAAAGGGCAGTTTGGATTATGTTTACTCAGACCTATGGGGACCTTCACACGTTCCATCAAAGGGTGGTGCTTAATATCTCCTTACCATCATAGGTGACTACTTTAGGAAAGTGTGGGTTTATTTTCTAAAGCATAAGAATGATGTATTTGTGACTTTTAAATAGTGGAAAACATTGCTTGAAAAGCAAACAGGAAAACAAATCAGTTGAGACAAATAATGGTTAGAGTTTTGTGAAAATGAATTTAATGAGTTTTGCAAAAATGAAAGTATTGTAAGGCATCATATTGTTGTTAAAACACCACAGCAGAATCGAGTTGCAAAACGTATGAACAGAACTCTACTAAAGAGCAAGGTGCATGTTGTCAAATGCTAGTCTTTCCAAGGAAATTTTGGAAAGAAGTAGTTAATATGGCTTGTTACTTGGTAAATCGCTTTCCATTTACTACCATTGAGTGTAAGATTCCAAAAGAGGTATGGTTTGGCAACCCCCCAAATCATTCAAATTTGAAAATATTTGATTGTCCAACATATGCACATGTCAATGAAGGCAAGCTTTGAGCCTAGGGCCAAGAAGTGTATATTTCTTGGTTATGTTTTAGGTGTGAAGGGGTACAAGTTGTGGTGTCCTAATCCTAAATCACCAAAATTCATAGCAGAGATATTACTTTTTACGAGTTTGTTATGCTTCACCTGAGAAAGGAGTCCATTTTTTGTGATGCAAATAAAACACAAGGTTCAGGAAAGAAGGTGGAGTTAGAAGTTAGAAAATTTTCTTCCTTACCTCAGTTTACATCAATCCAGGTGCCCATTTCTACTGAGATAGAAGAACACATACAAGAGGAAGAAGATGAGCAATATTCTATTGCTAGAGGCAGAACAAGGACAAAGGTTAGACCACCTCAAGGATATGGCTATGCTAATTTGGTTGCTTATGCATTGTCAATTGCAAAAAATGTTGATGTTGTTGAACCTAATACTTATGCAGAAGTTATCTCATCTATTGACTCTACTAAGTGGTTGGCAACTATGCATGAAGAAAATGAATTCTTGCATAATAACTAGACTTGGCAGTTAGTAAGACCACCTAAAGGAAAGAAGATTGTTGGATGCAAATGGGTTTTCGAAAGGAATGAAGGTAGTCCAGGTATTGAGGATGCTAGATATAAAGCATGATTGGTTGCTAAAGGCTACAATTAGGTATAAGGTATTGATTTTAATGATGTTTTCTCACAAGTTGTTAAGCATAGCTCCATTCATTTTTTTCCTCGCTTTGGTTGCCATGCATAATTTGGAATTACAATAGTTAGATGTTAAAAATTACTTCCTTGCATGGAGAAGTTGATGAACATTTTTATATGCATCAACCTGAGGATTTTGTTGTTAAAGGGAAGGAAGACCATGTTTGCTTGTTAAAGAAATCTATGTATAGTTTAAAATAGTTTCTTAGACAATGGTATAGAATATTTTACTCTTTTATGGTGGTTTTTGGGTATTCTAGATGCAAGTATGACAGTTGTGTTTATTTTAGGAAACTTGTAGATGATTCTTTTATTTACTTGTTGATTTATGTTGATGATATGCTTATTGCAGCAAGAGAAATATTTGAGATCAACAAGTTGACATGGTTGAGTGGTAAGTTTGAAATGAAAGATTTGGATGCAACAAAGAAAATTCTTGGCATGGAGATTTAGAGGGATCGAAAAGCAGGGAGGTTGTATTTGACACAACAACAGTATATTGAGAAGGTCCTAAGCATTTTGGCATGAAAGATGCTAAACCAGTAAGTACTTCTCTTGCAGCCCATTTTAGACTTTCAGCTAATTCATCAGCACAGATGGATGAAGAAAAAAGATATGTCACATGTCCCTTATTCTAGTATAGTTGGGAGTATTATGTATACTATGGTTTGCACACGACCTGACATTTCACATGCAGTTAGTGTGGTGAGCAAATATATGTCATGTTCCAACAAGGCACATTGGCAGGTCGTGAAGTGGATTCTCAGATACTTAAAAGGAACATCATATGCTTGTTTGGAGTTCGGGAGTAGTAATAGCTTGATGGGCTATGTTGATTCAAATTATGTAGGTGATCTTGACAAAAGGTCACTCATAGGTTAGGTATTTTCTATTGGTGGTTGTGTTATTAGTTGGAAAGTTACTTTACAGTCTACAATTCCTTTGTCTACTACTGAGGCTAAGTATATGGCAGTGACTGAGGCAGTTAAAGAAGCTATTTTCTTAAGAGGTTTGTTTGGTGAACTCAGTTTGGGTACAAAGGTGATTGTTCTCTATTGTGACAGGTAGAGTGTTATTCATCTGACTAAGGATCAAATGTGCCACCATGAGAGGACGAAACACATTGATATGAGGTACCACTTTGTCCATGATGTTGTAGAGCAAGGAAATATCATTGTGAAGAAGATTGGCACTATAGAAAACCTAGTTGATATGTCAACAAAGCCTCTTCCTATGGCTGAGTTCAAGCATTTCTTGGACCTGATTGGTGTTTGTAGCATTTGAGTTTGCCCATTGGGGGCTTTTGTTGGAGAAGCTGGAGGGAGCTTGTTTTTTTATGATGCTTGAGAGAATTCAAGCCAAGGTAGAGTTTTGTTATGGTTATGGTTGTGACTCGAATTCTTTGTTACGACCCACTTCATGAACCCGCACCGAATTAAGTTAAGAAAAACCAAAAGGCAAAATTTCATAGTGGTTTGTATTTAGCTTATGGCTCCAAACTGAATACGAAGTGTTGTGTATTTCAGGGGCTTTCTCTTTTGTATGCTTAGTCTTTCGTCTTGTGAGATAAGTGTGAGACTTTGGGTGTATTTGGGGTTTAGAGTTTTCTGTGAATGTATAACTTTGTATTACTCTCCATTACATGGTGGATTTCTGCTCCTCCGCCCATGGAAGTAGGCTATTAGCCGAACCATGTAAATTTGTGTGTTTTCTTTGCTTTCTTCTCTTTATCTCTGTTTTTCTTTCATTTTTGGGTGCCATTCAAATCTGTATTTCTGGGTTTTGCACAATGGGAAATGCCTTGTCAATTTCTCTACCCTCCTTGCTACACTTGCTGGAATGGGGAACAATGACAGAACATATCTAGGAAGAGAGCTCAATACACTTTTAATCAAAGTTATCTTGCCTCCTTTAGATAAATATTTTTCCTTCCAACCAGTTAGCCTTCCCTCCTCCACTCTTTCAATCACTGGGTCCCATACCGATTTTCAGATGCATTTCTCACCTAAAGGAAGCCCAAGGCAACTTAACAACCTTGCACCCAATCAAATCAGCCAATACATTCACATCTACATCCTCACCCACAACAAAGAGTTCACTTTTGAACAGATTAATTCTCAATCCTGAAAATTGAAATAGCCTTAAATCATTTTAAAATACAGCTTAAGTTTAGCAGTTGGTCCAGATAGCACATGGGAGAAAACCACTTAAAATTTTATAAAATGGTTATAAGACCAGAAATGTTTGATGGAGCAGAATATTGGGTAGTCAAGAAACATGTCCATAAAATGTGTGGTAGAAATAGATGTTAAGATGGTTTAGGTTTAGTCACATGCAGAGAAGACCATCTATAGTACCAATGAGAAGAAAGAAACGATCTGTTGCAACAGTGTTGCATGGACATGGACAAAGGAGTTGAAATCTGATGTGTGTCCAAGATGACTACAAGATGAGAAAACATGGACGCCTTTATGGCAAAGTATATATGATTAAAATAGTTCATATTTTCTGAGTTCTAGCATTATGTACCTGCAAAAAAAGGGTCCAGCATGTTGCCTTTGTTGCCAAGTAATATTTGTATGGAAAATTGCATTCATCTTGTACAGTGGCTGTTCATTTATGTCAAATAAGCATTGTTGTAAATAGGAAACTTTATGTAGAAGTGTCTTCGAGATTCCATGGATTGTCAGACTCCAACGTATGTCCAACATGGAAACATCATTGATATAAGACGGTCAATGCGAAACTGGTTGCAAGTTGAAGGGTCTAGAATGATTTGAGAGACAACGATTTGACAATGGATCCAGGTAGTAGAGTAACATAACAGAATAGAATAACATAATAGGATCCAGGTAGTCGACCCCATATAGTTGGGCATGGCTTAAGTTCAAATGAAGCAAACGGGATTCAATGTATGAAGAAGCATGAATGTAATCTCAAAATTTATTTGAATGTACATATGGTATAGTACAAACTATACCTGTTCATGGGCCGGGTTGGACCGGGCTTTTGCTCTTTATTAACAGAAATTTTTCAGGCCCGAGCTTGAGCCTGGCTTGACCAACGGGCCTACAACTTGGGCCCGAGCCCGACTCTCATAAAAAGCCCAAAGCTCGACCTAGAGTCTGAGCGCCGCCGGTGCCCTCTGAGATTAAGAGAATGGTGCCTGGGCTGAGTCCACCGATTCCTGGGAGTTTGAGAGTGAGAATAGAAACTAAGAAAGTGAGAAGATAGAAGATGAAAATAGTGTTGGCTAGAGAGAGAGAGAAAGAGCGCTCACCGCCGGAGAGAGAGACAACCTAGATCTGGTGGTGCTAGCTGCCGGTGCTTGAGTTTGCAGAGTGAAAGTAGTTCGCCTGGTTTCTAGTGGCGCCAATTGGAGAGAGAATTGAGAAGATAGAAGACTTAGTTCTGAGAAGAGAGAGAACTGGGAATGAGATGATAGAAGATGAAAACGGTGCCGGCTGGAGAGAGAGAGAGAGAGAGAGAAAGAGAGAGACGACCTAGTTCTGGTGGCGCCGGCCGTCGATGCATGAGTTCACAGGTGCAGCTGGGTTCGCAGATTGTGAGAGTCTGAGAAGGAGAAATGAGAGCCGATTAAGAGTGTGAGAATGAAAAATGATAATGAAAAGAAAAGATTTAAGAATTTAGGGTTAGGGTTAGGCAGTTTGGAAATTTAGGTTAACTTATACAAAGGTCGGGTCGGGCTTGTTTAACAAATCTCGAGCCCAGCCCGCAAAATAGTTGGGCTTGGGCTTTTAGGCACAAGGTCAAGCCCATGGGCTTAAATGCGTATGCTCAAGCTCTTCTGGGGGCCAGGTCGGCCTGTCGGGCTACCTGACCCATGAACAGGTCTAGTACAAACCCACTTCACCAAACTGGCCTATAATAATTATAACACAGAAAAAAGAAAACCAACAAAAAGATATAGAAAAAGAATAGGAAATCTAATATGTAAAGCAAGCATGGTTGGAGGAAAATGCTATGATATATATGATGTGGCAACTGCAAAGAAAACTAGAAATAGTTTACAAGTTCTGCTAAATAAACTAAAGTAAATGGAAAAACATACTTAGGTAACACAAACAAAAAAGAGTTGTAAAAATGAAGGGAATAGAGCCATAACACCAAGGAAAAAACTTAAGAATAGAGGTCCTGTACAAAAGCCTCATAGGTTGTTTTATGTAGATTTAAGCATCCACACCATAGCTAGATGCCAAGAACAAACTACAATCCCAAGTTTTTTATTTGAATCCTAGGTTGAAAAGCATAGATAGATATTTTAAAAGGGAAGTATGGCAGATTAAATTTAGAAATGTTTTGATGAATAAAAAGACTCGAGTGAAACTTGGTTCCAAAAAGACTTAAAGAAAATCATTTCGTAAAATGGGAAAATTTTAGAATGATTCTGAGTTGATTTGTGGTTGAAAAATGGAAACTTTTATGATAGAAATATCAATGACCCACCGATCTAGCACATGGATCAATTCTTGCAGATAGGACACTGCTTTATTTGCCGACTTTTTTGGTTGTAATCTTACAGGTTGCTACAGGAGACAGTAATAACTGTAGAGATTTTGTCTTTTGGGATTTTTCGATGAAGTTTGAAGCCGAGAATAGGACCTATAAGCTTTTTTGGTGCGTTTGGATCCCAGTGCATGGTGATATAATATTTGATTGGAGTACTGCTATCAGTTTTTTTTTTTTTTTGAACTAATGTTTTCATTCATTTAATGCTCAGCAGTTACTGCTATCTGTGCTGTATTTCCTTGGCGACAAAAATGAGCAACTGAACACTGGGGGTGACTCTGCCAACCCATACCCTAACCTGTAATCAGCCATGATTTGTTCTATACGCCAATGAGTGAAATTTCCTTCTATTCCTTGGTCACAAACAGCCACCGTTGCCAAGTTTACCCTCCGGACCAGCCACCGTTTCCTCTAAGGTCCACCTAGGTTGCTTTATAGCTCGACTAAGTACCCACAACCAATGTTTTAGAAACCGACCCGGAAAAGAACTGGTTTGATGACTGGTTTTTGGGTCAGTGGTTTGATTGTTTAGGTTTGAACGGTTCAGGCGGTTTGATCTATTTTGACCTATTAGGGTAAAGAGAAATAGGTGACTGTCAACCGGAAAGGAATGAAAAAAAAAAAAAAAAAAAAAAAAAAAAGAAAAGGAATGAAAGAAAGAAACGAAAAGAAAGGTGGTGGTGGTTCGATGGTAACTGACAATTGTGATGACCGCAGATTTGATCTCAGATCTCGTCTTTCGATCTCCTTTCTATTAATGCTCCTTTAAAAAATTAAATAATATTTTAGTAAACCATGAACTGCTGCCCGGGTTGAATGGTTCGATTGCCCAGGTCAGTATTTTACTGACGAATTCAATGCTTTTTTTCAAGAAAAAAAAAGATTCACTTGAAAATTGGACATGGCAATATGACCATTGCTTGAGTCAAACGGTTCGACCGTTCAATTCGATCCGATTTACACAACAATGCCCATAAGGCCACAACAAAAGTTCCATGAGAGTCCCAAATTACCATACCCAACCGATCCGATTCATCCATGGGATTTAACGGTTTATTTTTCATCGCAAAACTATACCTAAACCTCCAAATGTTTCATGATCCTCATACCATGAGTCAGAGCAAGATACTCATTCACCCTAAGAGACAATCTACTTCCAAACCAAACCAATCTGAAATCCGTACAATAAACAACAAATGCAATAAGGTTCTTCCTCCATCCTACATTTTCTGCAAACGCTCTCTATATTGGCACTAGTTTTTTTCAAGATTGATAGCCGTAGAGAACTAGGGATGGTATCAAATAGACATCGCTTGAGGAAATGATGGATCTGGGTGGTATATGTTTGAAGCTCCAAAATTGCTTTCATGTAACAGTCCCAAATACTGGTGAAGGGGATGAATAATGACCACTGTTCTCTACTAAACATTTGTAAGCTGAAAAAGATGTGAGTTTACCCAACGGTGTCAATAGGGGTGCAATTGGATCCGGATTAGAATCTGATGCTATTTTGTTGGATTCGAATATCCCTTATTGGATTTTTGGATTGGATAAGATCGAATAATTGGATTTGATTAAAAGTTGGATCAAATTTCTTATTATGTTTATATTGCATTTTTGTAATTTTTATATTATTTATTTTTTATAAAAGATATTATATATATGATAAAAATAGTTGAAATTTTTGAATTTTTTTTGTGTTTCTTTAGATAAACTTTTATGTCTTTTCATTTTAATGTTTTGTTAAATTTGATAGAAATTAACTCCGATTGGATCATATTCAGATATCCAACATCCTTATTTCTTTTGATATCCAATCCGATCTTTGGATCGGATAAGAGAATACAGATTTAAATATTCCTCATTTCCTTGATTCGAATCTGTTCCCATCGATTTGCACCCCGACCCAATTAATTCATCTTCTGTAGAAGATCTTTGTAATGGTAATCACACTGATGATATTGCTGAGAGCCTAAGTCATCCACCAAGTTGCTAATAATGTCCATCCTCTAAGTGTTCATCTTTGGGTCAATAAATGCAGCCACTTTGCAATTTTCCTCCAAATAATCACCCATGAACCTATTCTCTTCACCCCTCGTAAACCTCGGAGTCCAAGATCTGGTTTGATCCATACACTCCAACGATTTGCCATGAAAATCGGGTTTCCTCCTCACAAAATTAGTCCTCA